TGGCTCCCTCCTCACCTCAACTGTAGTTCTTATTACAATTCAGTCCATACCCATCTAAGGTAACCCTTAACACGGGAGGCGTCCACTCCTTACAGTGACCAACCACTAAGGTCAATAGGACAGCATCTGCCTGAGGACAGAGCTCAGAAGGCAGGAAAGGGTCGGACAGGGGGAGTAATGGAAACAGGAATCACAGGGAGGAAGTGGGCAGTGTGGTTACACGGTGGGTACTTTAATGATGCCATAAAACAAAATGTCTAGAAATAGTTGAATGAAAATCAATTTACGTTAAGCTTTAGCTCATCACAAGGACAAAGGAGCTGCCAGTCAGATATCTGGTTTGGCTTTTCCCCCTGCGTCCTGGTAACCACAGGAAAGGCAGGTCCAAGCCAGACCTTCGGGATCTAGACGATGAATCCAAAAGGGAGAAACATAAGCATGGGATGAAAAGTGAGCGGGTCTACCCACAGGTTGGAGGGTGGTCCCTGCTGCCTCACTGCCTGTGGCTGTTCCGATCCCTCCCCTTAGCACACCGCCCTTCGTCCCCCTTCTCAGAAGGATATCTGAGCTATTGTGTGGTGGTGGTGGTGTACCCTCAAGTCTAGACCCTCCAGCGAGTGCTCAGAGGCAGTAAACTGCACAGGAGAACACCCATTGCAGAGCAGCTGGTGGACTCGAACGGCATACCTTTGTGCTGGTAGTGCAATTCCTTACCATTAAGCCACCAGAGCTCCTTCTGAGCTATCGAAGACTCTTCCAAGAATTCTCTCTGTAGTTGTTAGTCTTTTGGGGTCTCTGCTATAGAGTCCTAACTGATGTGTGTGCTCATGAGATCCCAGGCCCTTCTCCAAGACGGGGTCTGGGAGGTCTCTGGGGTGAGAGTGTGGCATAGGGATACATGCTACCACTCAGAGCCAGGTTCCCTACTGTACAATCTATGACAGTTAGGAACAAAGTCCAAAGTCCTCCTTAAGCCAAGCGTGACAGCTCTTCTCTCACAAAGACACTGGCTGCATCAGTGCTGGCCCTCAGGAAAAGACACGCTGCAGAGGCGAGCGAGGGGGCCAGGTTCACCTGGGTCAGGACCAGGTTCTGAGTGCCACGTGGCGCTGTGAGGATGCTAAATGCTTCCTCCACACTTGTACCCGTGGCCCACAGTCCAAGGTCTCCCCGGGCCCAGAAACACGACAGAGGCTTCCCCTTCTTTCCAGGTGTTCTAGTAGCAGAGTGCTTACAGCACGTGGCAGCTATTCAAATGGTCAGCAGTTTGAACACCCACTACAGCTCCAAGGGCAAGACGTGGCAGTGCACTTCTGCAAAGGCACCTTGGGAGCCTCGGGGACAGTTCTCCGTCCTAGAGGGTTGATTACAGTGGATGGATTTGATGGCTGCGGGTTTTGTTCTGCACAAGGTCACGGGGACTCCCTGCAGAAAGTGACATTTACCCCTTGAACTCATCTTGCAGGCATTTCCGCCTGCCTGGAGCTCAGCCCCGTTCCTTTTACTGAACGCAGCCCAAGTAGTCACCCTCATCAGCAGATTCTTCTAGACCTAAGTGCTGATTCTGGAGAAATATTTGATTCCAACTCCGTTCTTACCCATATCTCCAGCCTTTCCTAACACCCTGGTCTACGGTCTAGGATTCCCTTCCAAAGAAGAAAACATGCAGAAAACTCACAAAAAAAGACCAGACTTAGCTCGAAACTATTGCCCTAAAGGCATCCTTCAGGCCATCCCAGAAGCCATTCCAAATGCCACCTTTCAGTCAAATGGCAGACAATAAACACAAATAATACCAAATACTACTACTTAAGAGCATGTTCCTCGGAATAAGTATACAAACCAAAAGGGCTTTTATCTGACAACAGAGATAAGACTGAAATTCCAAGACAATTCAGAGAGAAGCAAACAGGGAGCCCAGGGCGTGTATGGGGAAAGTGCTGACTCGCGCAGGGAAGGCAGCCAATGTCAGGGAACACATGACATGCAAGCTACCAAATGGGAAACTAATTTGTTTTATAAACTTTTACCAAAGCAAAACAACGTATGTGTCTGTTATGAGCACAAGAACACAGAGTAAGAACAATGCAGGAAATAAACATTTAAAAAAAAAAAACACCCCAAATGAAGCTTCTTTCTAGCCAGAAGAGGAAATCATAGCTTGGAGGCTTAAGTATTCATGAAGGGTCTGACCTAACCCTGCAGATGAGATTCCTCTCTGACAAGAGCTGTGGGTGTGATGCTAAGTGGGGCATGTGAAGAAGCCACCCAGGTTTAATTACACACACGAGGGATAGCACGGCAGCACACACAGTCCATCACCAGAGTGACTCAGGGAAGCCAACAAGTCACCTGCCATAAATGCCTGTCTCCTTGGCCCAGTCCTCCCAGCCTCCCTGAGAAGCCTACCCAGGGAGCAACGGCTACTTGAAAAGGCTGAGATTTGATATTAACGGCACCAAGTTAACACTCCAAATTCTAAAGGGGAAGAGATGTCACCAAAACAGAGGGGGCAATGAATGAAGCAGCTGGCAGCTGCCACCTCTCCTATTATTAGCTCAGTGATGCACGAAAGGGACCTCAGGACACAATGCTCAGGCCACACGCTGTCCTTCAAAGCAAGCGTGTTCCTCTCTATTGTGTCCATGCTTCCCCCTCTCCCCTCCCAAAACAGAAGAGGGATGTGAGCTGGGTCTCCACTCCCTGTGATGACTCAGAAAAGGACCTGCCCAAGGCCAGAGTGCTCAGACGCTCACCCCACTACAGGCAAAAAGCCAGCTCGGGAACGTCGCAGCATCTGCTCTCATGTCCCTCGGGATTCCACATATTAAACTAACTCTAGGAAGAGTGAGCCCAGAGCTACAGACAGCCCACAGAACCTGTTCTAAACCAGATGTGCCTCCTCTGTTAACCCAAAGTTCTGATGCCTCTTTGTTCTGAAAAGTCTAATCCGGGATTGAGACAAATTTCTCCAGCATATGAACGAAAATATGTACAGAAAGAGTTGCTGTTCCTGTTACTCTGACTGTAAAAGATACTGAAAACGTCCTAAATCCCCCCAACTCTCCAGAAGGCGGTTCCAGAAGATCACAGAATCGCGCACAGTATGACAACTGCTAACAAGGCCGCGGAAGCTCAAGAAATGGCAGAGAGGCCACAGGACAAGGACACGGAAACGGCAGACAGGCAACTTTCAAGCTGTACATTTTAATTTACAATTTTCACCAATAAAAAGGTTTAATTACAAAAACGAAGGTTCGCTATACAAAATAAGGATTTTGTTCTTCCTTTTAATTCACAGAGACTCCACTGTCAGGTCTTGTCTTGCCAAGTCAAAGCTCAAGCTTTGCTGAGCTACATGATTCCAAAAGCAAAAGGAGAGAAACAGAGACGAGGTCAATCAAACAGTTCGCTCCCTAGACAGGATGTGGGGGAAGAGTTCAGTGACCACTTTGCCTATGAACTCTCGTCAAACCGTTCAACAACGGCTCTCTGCTCAGGGGGACCAAGAGGCTCACTCCCCAGAGATGCCAGCTCCTGCCCTTCCCACACAGTCCGAGGGAACCAACAACAAGACAGGAAGAATGGCTTCTAAAAATTTACCAGTCGGCTTTATTGTGGCCACAAGTCAACGGCAGAGCATATGACAGCTCTCAGAATCTCCCCACCTACTAGACAGTATTAATTCAATCCAGAGGGGAAGTACTCACAAACTTTACTAAAAAAATAAAGGGCTGTTTTCAAAGCCCTACTTCCTAGCACAACACAAACCATTTGAGAATGGGAAAAGGAAGTCACACTGTTAAAGCACACTGTTTCCTGTAAAGCAACTGATCAAAGTAGTCAACGCTTTCAAATGACTCTTAAAAGTATGGCAACTGCTCTACCCTAGCCCGAGCAGCCCGCTTACAAAGGAAGTCTTTAAAGCAAAAACCCTGTGCAAAAATACTGCAGCCTTCACAAAGCTTACCTGGTGCAGAGCCTGGCTCTGATGGGAGAAGCCACCTTGGAGAAAAAAAGGGAGTGTGGTGAGTTTTTAACCTGGTCTGGTGCCTGGGGTGTGTACATTCACCATTCAGAACAACAAAGACTCTCAATGATTCCAAAACCATTACAATTCAACACTACTCGAAATTCACTTAGCTGTGATTCTGTTCATTTCAAAACCATCTACTTATAAAGAAGCTGCGCCATCATCACAATCAAATGATGCACTTGAAAAAGGGGAGGAAAAAAGGCAAATAGGACAGGAGAGTGTCTCCTCTCCGCCTGCACAGTGTCCAGGATGATGAAACGGAATCAACGCCCAGGTTCCCCTTAGAGAACAAGACCTTGTAGCAAATGTGATTTAGAGCCTCACGACACAACACGACACAGCACAACATGACTACTGGGGGGACACAGCAAGCCAGCATGCCCCACGCCTGTATCTGGCCACCACAATTTTAAAACTACCTTTGTGGTAGAAGCCACAATAGTTCTGATCACATAACTTAGGAGGGGAAAAGGCCTAGCAACAGACCCCAGATCTCTTCAATGCAAGTCTGTGTCCCTCACTGACCCATTAGTGCTGCATTTGTTTGGTTTTTGTTTGTGTTTTTTTTTTTTTAAGAAAAAATATCTGCAGATGTGGCAAATGGTTGCATCTGATGTCAGGCCACAATTCCAAAAGCTGAGAGAGTTCTTCGTCCACTACTCCAGGCTTCTCCCCCATCAACACAGTCTACCACCAATGGGGGAGAAACACTGTGGGGGCAGCAGGTTCTCTGCGACCAACACGAGAGCGTGTCAAAGGCAGGGCCATTTCACAGGAAACCCCTGCTGGCTGCAAATCTGGGTGCTGAGAAAAAGAAGAGGGAGATGTGTGCAGGGAAGAGGTGAGTCCCTCTGCCACGGTTTTGGTTATCAATCTCATATGCCCGGCTTGGGGCCACAGATGAGGGGCTGCTCCAAGCTACTATTCAGACTGGAAGGGGAGAAGAGACGACGCCAATACAGAGTCAGTTTGGAAATCTGCCCAGTTGATATTTGCTCTTCATAGCAGTAAAGACTTGACTGAGAATCACGGAACTGGAGAAATACATATATTTTTCTTCAGGACTTAGAAAACTTTGTCTTGTACCGAAAGACTACATTCAGTGTGGGTCAGGTCCAAGGGCATCAGCCAGGGCTCGGTGGTTACGCACACCCAGCATGGAGGACGCAGCAGCCAGGTCAGGGCAGCGGGTGGCCAAGCCGCTCTTCACTGGTCTCCGAGTCGGAAGCCCTGGCCCCAGTTGTGTCTTCCACCACCGCCGTTCTGATCAGCCGCTCGTCTCATGCTGGCAGGGGGCACGCCAAATCCCGAGACCCCTCCTCTCCTGCTGGGCAGCCAGCGGTACCTGGGGAGACAGAGGAGGAGACAAATCAAGAGAGAGCAGAGCCATCCTCACGTCATCCCCCCACAGAGCATGTGTCCCTTCCCTGGGGTTCCCATGGCATATGTCACACCAATTACATCAGTCTGTGACCAGCCGGACCAGGGACACTCAACCACGGCTCACTTAACTCGGCCTCTCTGGCACTAAGCACAATGCCATGACCACACAAGGGTCTTGCTGTCCACATGTCTTAAATTCATTACACTTCCAACTAATTCACAGTGAGACATTTTTTTTGACTACAAAACTCATGCAGAAAAGGATAAAAACCAAAATACTACACTAACAAGTCCTACAGCTCAATGAACCACTTACAGCAACGTGGTTTACTTAAATATGGATCAAACTGGATCAAAGGAACAACCTCCCTTTCAGGGGACAAGGTCACAGCCTGTCCATGTACACCTTGCACACGGTGTCCCTGGACGCTCCCTGCCCAGTTCGAGCGGTCACCGAGGAGACAGAGGAAAAGGCTCTGGATCTCAGAGTGGACAGCACGTTTCACAGGTGTATTCACGATCTGCCCTCAAGCTGCATTCTTTCTGCACGTGGATGATGAGAAATGGTTTGTCACCTTACAAAGCAGCCGCTTAAGAGGCACCGACGTGCTAAGAAAGAACTTAACCTCAGATCTGTATTCTGAACTGCCCAATGGCTATTCTCAAAACTTACCCAGGGGTCCTGTGGAAGGCAAGCCCGGCAATCTGTTTCTATGATGATTACAGCCAGGACAGGCCCACAGAGCAGTTCTAAGGTAGCAGAGTCAGTGAAGCCCAGGCTGAGTGTGCGGAAAGCTGGTAAATCTCCAGCGTCCACCGTGCCATGTAGGCCCTGTGTACACTGAGTGGAGCCCTGCACACAGTCACTGCCCAGAATCCTCATTCACTTACCCTAGTCTCCGTACCTTCTGAAAAACATACAGTGAACCTCCTCTAAACAAAAATAACTGTGCGCAGAAGAAAAAGACCACGGATCTTTCTCTACCTCTCTAGGTGGACCGTGGAATACTGACACACCTTAGAATTCTACACCTCACATCTCCCTTTTAAATGACTGCACGGGTCATTCATTCACAAGGCACTGGTAAGCCTTGACCATGGCTGGTTCTAACAAAATACAGAATGAAACGGAACGTCCTCAAAAGGCAGCACCCAGGCTGCCTTGCTTTGCTATTTACTATAAGACAATATGGAAACCATCTCCGTTTCTTCAGCAGATCATGAAATTAAATGCAAGCAATTAGAAGAAGAAGGCACCCAATTACACATAATCAACAAAAATTTATGGTAATTTCAAAGCCGTTCCTGCTTTTGCGAGGAGCTACATTTTGTCAGCTGATCTTTATGCAAAATTTAACAGAAGGGCTTCCAGCGCCAGGGGAAGCTCAACTGAAGAGAGGCTGCAGGGTGCTGATTCTGCCACGAGACCCTTGTACCCAATCGAGAAGTCTCCAAGCCATTAGTCAGAACCCAGCCACTGAAAATAAAGAGACTGCTGGCTGCTCCCCAAAGCACTATGCTTTTTTTTTTTAATTGATGCATCGGCCATTGGACCTGATAAACCTTGATCAGAATTCCAAACCTGCTGTTACTGTATCCTCTGATAATTAGAAAGCAGAGTGGCCATTTGTTTTTCTAGCCTGAAGGCAACCCCAGGCTCAGAAGAGAAACAAGTTTCTTGCTGACACTTAAAGAAATAAATGTGCAATTCTGCTCTGTTTAGGTGTTGTTATTTCTGTGATGGTAGAAGTCTCTCAGAAGCCCCCTAACTTGTAAGAAGGGGAAGGAAGCCAGGGAGTCAGCTGGGTTTCACTGGCCCCAAAGAGGCCTTTGGAGGAGGACCAAGAGAGCAAGACGTGAACTGTTTTGTGTCTCAAGTGTCTGAATACAAGCTGTGATGGTGTGGTGACAGGAAACGGTAGGAATGGCCATAGCCTAAAACACCCAGATGGCGTTGTCAGTGGACCCTGCAGCAGGCTCTCAATGCTGATGGGATGAGCCGGTGGGTATGCCTGTCACAATGCCACTCCAGTCCCATGCAGGAACATGGCTGTAACATCTGTTTCCCCAAACAGTTTATGAACCTCACGCTGCCCCGTCAGCCAGGTGTCCCTACGCCCCTGATTCACAAGTTACGGTGCAGGGATGTCATTAATCCACTTTCTCAATATCAAAACAAATGGGAGAAACAGGATGCTGGTTCAAGTATGTTTCAAAGTCAAAACTGTGCCCTCAGCTTCCCCCTTCAGGAGTCCCCACAGCAAGAGTGAGCGCATACTACCAGGGGTCCAGCCTAGACGAACCTCCAGTCTCATTATGACTTTAAATATTCCTATATAATGTTCTAGAACATTTAAAATAAGTGTTTAAGACTGTCAGCCAATTCGCTAACCCACACTTCCCAGTTAGCATCAGCTCCAGGACGATGGATCCCGGTTCCCAGCCACTCTGTGTGCAGGGAGCCGAGTGGGCAGGGGTCTGACACCCACAAAGAGTTCACAGAGCTCCAGAAGGAAGACTTGAACTTCGGATTCTGCTTCTGTGACTGTGGGATCAGAGCAAGTTCTTTTCCAGCCCTCACTTCTCCATTAGATGAGGAGATACAGGTTCCCCCACGAGCCAAAAGTAAAGCATTTCTAGAGATCCTTTCACACGCTGAAATGTACAAAAGTAATCACCATTCATTTCTATGGAAAAATTTTTCGAGCACCTTAAGAGATAAAAATAACCTATGAAGTCACACCAGCTCTATCACTGTGCTCACAGACATGTCTCAGAGCTGTGGCAGGCTGACACAGGGAAGCAGGGTGTGGCTCTGTGGACAGGTCCCAGACACGTCCCTTTCGAAGCTGTGGCCGGAAGGACTGCTTCTTTCATGGCCTGCTGCAAAGCAAACACTGGACGATGGGCTAGCGCTCCACCTTTTCTCATGAAAACAAAAGTTCTCTCTGGATTTCATCCAACCACCAAACACAGCTACTAATGTGAGGTTTCTTGCTAAAAGGAAGCAGTGTGAAGTTGAACTTGTAAAAAGTGAGAAAATGCATAAATGTTACCCCTGGATTACTGGAGCTCCTATGAACACACATCAGAACACATGCAATGGTAAACTTCTCTTTAAATGAAAGAAAAAATAAATGCTTACAAAAACTGAGGTGTGGAGAGAAAATTCCTTCCTCCCAAATCCATTGGGTATCTGAACATCAAGAAGAAATAAAGATGTCCAACTAGATTTCCGATCAGCTCATTGATTACCCTGCAAACAGAAAGCCTCATCAGTTAATGACATTCATGTGATACCTTGAGACACAACAAGTTCTCACAGTGAAGACACCCCTGACCCCGACCCCCACTGTGGCCAAGGACAGGCTGGGATTCTGGGGCTGCTGCACTAGGAGCCCTGTGGGGTGTGACAGTGAGCAGGAAACCAGTTTCCTCAGCATCTTTCAGGCTTGTGACCAAATTTTTTTTTCCATTTCCTGCCTCAAGAGTTGAGGAAATCTGGCTCATGAATGCTCAGTAACCATTACCGATTTAGAAAATAAAGCAAATATGAGAAGCAGGTTGTTGTTGTTCTTATGTGCCATCAAGTCGCCTGAGACTCATAATGACCCTATCTATGTACAACAGCCCTAAACCCTGCTCTGTCCTGTGCCAATCTCACTGCCTCTGACACACCTACCCCCATAACCCCAGCCACTAATCAATCCACCTTATAGAAGGCTTTCCTCTCCTACCCTGTCCTTCCACCCTCCCAAGCATGACATCCCTCTCCAAGGACTGGTCCCTCCTTGCAACATGTCCAAAGTATGTCAGACGAAGCTTCAGAATCCTTGCCTCCAAGAAGCAGCCTGGTTTAACCCTCTCTAGGTCAAACCTGTTTCTTTTCTTAATAGTCCATGGTATATTCAATACTCTTCTCCAGCACCACAGCTCAAAGGCATCAATTCTCTTTCTAGCCTCCCTAGCCACTGTCCAGCTCTCTGACGCATAGCAAATGACTGCAAAGACTATGGCCTGTATCAGGTGCATCTTAGTCTCCAGGGTGACATCATTGCTCTTCAGTACTTTGGAGAGGTCTCTAAGAGAGGACTAGCCCATAGCAATACATCTTGTAATTTCCTGGCTGCTGGTGTCAAGAGTGTTGATTGTGGAGCTAAGCACATCTATCATGATATTGCCAATCGTCCCTGTGGTGAGAATATTCTGTTTTCTTAATGTTGAGCTTCAATCCATATTAAAGGCTACAGTCCTTGACCTTCTGCAGCAAGTGCTTCAGGTTCTCCTAAGTTTCAGCAAGCAAGGTGTGTTATCTGCATAACAGATTGTTGATGAATCTTCCAATCCTGATGCCACATTTCTCCTCATATAGCCCAGACTCCCAGATAATCTGTTCTGCATATAGACTGAAAAGGTATGAAGACAGGACACATCCCTGGCATACACCCTTCCCAATTTTTAACCACGCAGTGTTTCCTTGTTCTGTTCTGACAACTGCCTCCTGGTTCAAGTATAGGTTTCACAGAAAGGAACTTAGGAAGCAGGGCAAGAAACACCACATCTCCTGGCCCTGGAGACACAAATCCTGCCTCTTATTCCCTGGCCTCTTCAAAGAGCTGACATACACCACCTGTAATCCTAAGGTAAATACAGACTGGCTTTGAGTCCCCATGGCTAACAAACCCACCACTTTAAGGCCTTAGACACCCACTGTCATTACTATGCATTCTTCTTTGTCTTAAGCTACAGTGTGAGTCTTGTTAGGGATGAGTCAGCATCTACAACCCGTCCTAGACTCTGACCTTTTGGGCAGGAGAGCAGTTTTACCAAGCTCAGGGCCTGACTCACTCCAAACAGCCCGTGTGTACAATTCATTTACTTCTCCCCACTGAAACACAGCAGCAGTCAGGACCATCCAGAGCAAAATCAAACATGTTAACCGTCCGTTCTGTTCAAAACACTTTAGAAAAAGAAAAGGAGCTCCTCAAACAGTTGCATCTCTGCATTCTTAAAATTCTGACTGGATGCATTAAAAGATTTCCGAATTCTGGGCCAAAACAGTTTTATACCATCATATAACCTGTCATACCACAATTCTGTGACTGGTGAATAGTTTATCAGGCGTTGTAAAAATGTTTGAATAATAAGGCATATGTTGTTGTTGTAGTTATGTGCCATCGAGTCACCTACGACTCATAGTGGCCCTATGTACAACAGCCCTAAACCCTGCTCTATTATATAACAATCTCACTGTCTCCGACACACCTATCCCTATTACCCTAGTCACTGAATCAGGTCCACCTTAGTCTCCAGACTGACACTGTTGATCTTCAGTACTTTGGAGGGGTCTCTGAAGCAGCTTTTCCCACCACAATTCATCTTTTAATTTCCTGGCTGCTGGTACCACGAGTGTTGACTGTGGAACCAAGCAAACTAAAGCTGTTAACAATCTCAGTCTCTTCACCATCTATCATGACGCTGCCAACTGGCCCAGTGGTGAGAATATTCGTTTTCTTGATACATGGATAAGGTATATACTACAGTAATATATTTTAGGTAGAGTTATTGGGAGTCAGCACAAGCAAGAATTAGGCCTACGTTTGCTTCATCTGGACCCAGATTCATAAACAATAATTTAAAAATACCTCTATGGAAGGACACCATGTCCAGCAGTCAACTAACAGAGTAAGCACCACACGCTGCTAAGTGTGCTCAAAGCCCTGTATTGCAATCACTCCTGTCAACGTGACATCATTTCCTAAGCATGAGGTTCCAATGCCTCAATGCTGAGAAGCTTTTAAGTTCATAAAGGCTGGAGAAAGAACAGAGAGTAATAGACATTTTCCAAGGGCAAGTTTTCAATTCAGTAAGATAAATACTACTCACGAGCCTCCGATGATATAGTTGAACCCGAGGATGACCCAGGGCAAGTAACAGGCCTAGGGAAGAACACACAGATGTGAGCAGCCTCGCCAAGGACTCAGCTGCCAGGGGGCAGGGCGGGCAGGTGTGCACTGACATCATCTGTATCAACTCTTGGGAAACTCACTGCAAAATTTCTCAGACCAATTTAGCACTTACAATTTCCCATTCCAAATGATACATATTGTGCACCTGTAACTGGAGGATCAGAGTGCTATGCCAGGGTTCAGATACATACCCTGTTGAATTAATATTAACAATGAACTCCAGAAAGTTAAAAAGGGATAGTGATGGATCTGCCTAAAACTTGAACTAAATAATTCTTAGAAATGACCTACATACCTCCGCTCTCCCCAGATCTTCTTTTACAGATCGCTGTCACTTTGCCTTTTTATCTCATTACACGCTGCTATCTTAAACTAATATTCTCCCAAATATGACAGATTCTCAAGTGAATTAGATAGCTGAGTCCCTTCGCACCTCAAGATATCTATCAGACCAAGAACTAACAGGATTATGAGTTACTTTTCCAACAGGCACAAAAAGGCTCACACACAACTTTAAGGGGAAATGTGTTAAATACCATGAGAGGAGCAGAAGGCATTCCAAGAACTCAAAGGGAAAGTGTACTTCTAGGGAGGTGACTCAGGAAATGTGTTCAATCCCAACTCAGACTCTCAAAAAGTTGGATTTAGATGAAGAAAAAAAGACTGGTGCAAAATATGGAGATGGTTCAAAGGGAAGTGTTCTGGGGTAAAAGAGTATTTTAGTGAAAATGTAAAGGACTAAGAAGAAGCAAAGAAAACAAGTTTTTAAAGAGAGTGTTTCAGAGAGAGAGAGACAACATGCTAGGGGCAGTGAAGTATAAAGCAAAGCAAGTCAGCAAATAACGGAAAGCGGAATCCAGGAACCCAGCAGGGGCTGGACTGAGGTGCACTGCTCTGCAGTGACCTCTTCTGGATGAGTCAGAAAGTGCGTCCATGTGGAGGAAGAAATCCTACACCAAAATCTGAAATTTCTACAATGACAGATGAAAATGCAATTTTCCCATCTAGGGTCAAGTACCTTAAATCGTGTTCCAAACCAAAACGACACGATCATGTCTCTGTTCAGCTGGGCCCAGACGTACAGCACTGACATGATCAAAGGGATCATCAGCAACTGCAAGAGACGTCAAGACGTAAAGACCAGGCTCCGAGGCACATGCCCAGAACTACTGTCCTCTCCACCCTGACTACAAAAACCTTCTCACCCAACGAGCCAAAAAAGTACACAGAATTGCACTCATCAGAATTCTAACTGTCCTATGTTTTAACGGACTACAGAAGCCTGCAATAGAATATATGCTGTGTTATTAAAAATGGATTCAGAAACAACCAGCAGCAAGCTCTGTTACATGAGAGGGAAGGAGGGGGAAAAAAAGCACAATAAAGCTTTAGTTACACTCTCTCAGCTGTGGTTTGAGTCCATCCACTGCTCTGTGGGAGAAAGATGGACAAATCTTCCCCAAAAAAGATTTACGGTCACAGAAACCCAATGGAGGGTTTCTGAGTTGGAACGATCTTAACTTTGGTGGGGTTTCCTTGATAACCTCAATTTAAAAACAAAAACAACCCAACAACCCAAATACATGTATGGAAAATACTTATCATTATTCTCTCTGCTTAAACATAATAAAAATCAAAAAATGGAAAACAAATTAGCAATAGTTTAAATAACTCACGTAAGAGCTTCAAAAGCTTATTATTTTCATGTCATATCTTCAACTTAAAGTCGCTACAATTATTTCAAGATACCACAGCACATTGCTAAGACAACATAAACTCCATCAAAAATCCTTCTAGTAAATCTGAAACTTTGAAAAGGGCAGATGAATAGTTTCAAAGGACACTTACCTGCATGTCCATTGCTAAACCCGTAATCTTGGTGTGTCAAGTTAAAGATCAGATCCAACATGGCACTCTGGACCTAGTCACGACGGGTCTGATTAAGCCCCCTCCGCTCCCCCATTTCATTCTAGTGTTCTAAGGTCTGCAGGCTGTTCCAGGGGCAGTGGCGTCCAGTGACCGTCCCGTTCCCGCGGCTATTCTCTTAAGACTGTACTGTCGGGGAGCTCTGGTGGCCTAGTGGCAAGAAGCTGCACTGCAATCCCAGAGGAACACGGTTCGAATCCACCAGACGCTCTGCCGGAGAAGGAGGCGCAATATCCTCCTGTACCAGTCAGATCTGATTTGACGGTACATGCACACAAAATAATAAAAAAAAAAAAAAGACTGTACTGTGAGGAGGCCATGGCAGAAACTAAGAACCTGGGCTCAAGTGGGACCCTTTCTCTTTTCCTTCCCTGCATTTTAGCATTTCTCCTCTGGGTGGAGAATGGAGAAGCCTGTGATGCCTGAAATAAGTCATTAATCTGCTCACTCGCAGGGTCAGGGCTCCACACCATGACCAGAATCCAAACCAGTTTTTCCTTCTCTTAAGGGCAGGGGGAGGGCATCCAATAAGCCACAGCTTCTGGCCTGGGGCCAGGCTGGAAAGGAGGCTGAGCTCAAAGGGGTCACTTGGGCCGTGTGTCCCCTGCAGGAGTCACACTTGGAAGGCTGCTGCTGAGGGTGCTTGATGCAGACACTTCCTGCGTCCTCTCTCAGAACAGGGGAGCCTGTAGGACCTGCATTACCATTTAACACTGAATCACCATTTCAGAACCCGAGACAAGAACACTAAAGAGATTTAAGATGCTGGTTGTATGTTGATTTTCTGAAGAGGAACACAGAAAATTTCACAAGTTGTGTCACAGCACAGAGTCTCTGTGCCCCAGTCCACAGTGGTCACATGTGAGAACAGAGAGAACACAGGACAAGAAGACAGAGGATTCGTTAAAACTCAACCAAATGTGGGAAAACCCCAAGGGCAGAGTGAGAGCACATATTCTCAAGGGCTCCTGTGCTGTTCTACAGCGTGTAAGAACAACTTGAAGTTATCCCAAATTATTAACCAGTGTAAGTAAGATGCAAAGACTGTAATTTGAAATGCTTTGCAGAATACTCAAACCTGAAGAAAAAAAACAAACAAAAAACAACCCCCAAACCAAAACACCCCACAGTTTAACTTGTGACCCCAAACAACAGACTGAAGGATACCACGATGCAGATCCAGTTAAAGAGGAGCATGAATAAATAGTCGGCTGGCCTCCCATCAAAAGCTCCTGAAAACAAAAAGAAGCCAAACATGGTTCAAAATTTCAAAACAAAGTAACTCCTATGCAGAGAAATGCTTTTAAAATTTCAAAAGAAAGCCAAATAAGAGTACGTTTCAATCACTCCCCCCACGTGCAAGAAACATGAATTTTCTTACACATCTAAAACATGTCCTCAGGACAGCCCTGAACTCAGAGTCCAGTCAGCTGTGCTTACTGTGCAGTCAGTAAGTGAGAAGAGGCTTTGGACTGTGGTTCAATACACGTTAACTGAAAGATCAGTGGTTCAAACCCAAGAGCAGGAGACAGCATGGCCATCGGCTTCCAGAGAGATCCCAGACTGGGAAACTCTATCGGGCAGTTGTGCTCTGCTTTAGACAGCAGTGGGCGAGGCTGGATGATTTGCTAAGTCAAGATCCAAAGGGAGAATGGCCAACTCCACAGCGACTGAGGCTCCCATCCCAAACGCCATGCGGCCCCATGAAGGCCTTCCCAGCTGACCACCTTCCTTCATGGCTCATCACGACTCAAGCTGGTGGCCCAGTGATACTTGGGTAACCGAGGAGTTTCACTTGCTATTGTGCCTCTTCCAGCATGCTGGGTGCACAGGGATACTTAGTTGCATACACTATCATTCTTGTTATTGTTACTGTATACTGTCTAGTTGGAACCTACCCACAGCTGACCTTCCAGTGCGTTTTCAGAGGCAGTTAACTGCATGGGAGGAGATTTCCCGTCCTCCAACAGAGCAGCTGAAGGATTCAAACCACGTGCCTTCAGGATTGCAGCACAGCTTCTTACCACTAGGCTATCAGAGCTCCCTTCATATTGTTGTGATGTATCATCAAGTTGGAATCAAACCAGAGCGGACCCTCCAGTGGGTTTTCAGAGGCAGTTAATCAGATGGGAGGAAATCAATCACCCATTATTCTCCCACAGAGCACTTGGCAGATTTGAACTGTGTGCCTTTGGGAATGCAGTGCAGCTTCTTGTCACTAGGCCACTAGAGCTCACACAAATAACCACTTAATCCTTCAGTGGACTAACAGACACGAAGAAGACTTATTCTCTGTATTCCAAGAGCTGACTCACCAGCAAGGAAAGCAGCTGGGGGAAGGGAAGAGGGGAGCTCTCACCCTTGCCCAGCCTGTCTTACCTCTCATACCATGTCTGGGAACGAGAATGGAAGGACCTGGGAACGAGAATGGAAGGACCTATGGCCTCCTCACAGACGGGGACATACAGCTCTGTCAGATCCCACGGCTTTTTGGAAACAGGTCGGTCCAGTGGCTCAATGCTAAGGAGATACACAGCCAGGGAAAGATGGGCAAACTCTCATGCTATTCACCACCTCTAAAACCTACCAGAGGGTCAGCTATGGGTCAGTTCTGACTCAATGGTACACACAACAGCAGTGCTCCTGTCACTACCCAATAGACCAGGCTCCACCCTACAGGGCAGGTAATCAGCAACAGCCCAGGTCCCAAAGTCCTGGGACCTTCTGATAGGAGACAGCAGGGAAAGGACACGGACATGACTGCGAGCCCAGTCTGGGGCCCCTGTGGTGCAGTGCACTCGCTGTTGGACTACTATCCTTAAGGTTGGTGGTTTGAAGCCACCAGGTGCTCTGTGGGAGAAAGAGCAGAATGTTCCAGTTATGAACTACAGCCTCAGAGACCAGATGAAGGGTCAACTCAACAGCTGAGGAGGGGGTCTGGCTTTGCCAGTCTAGCCCATAACTGTCCACTCTCTCCTCTGCACTCCATTCATGACATGCCAGTAAATTAAAAAGAATGAGGGGAGAAAATCCAGAGACTTGTCAGAATGAAGAAGGAAAAAAAATATTTTCTGAGGGAAAAAAAGAAGTTTCTGCAAAAGCCTCTCCTGTGTTCTTTGCTTCTCCATCACACCCTCAAAGGAGGCTGCGGCCACAGTATGAAGGACGCTTAATTCCAGGGAATCACCAGGATGAAGCAGAGCTGAAAAGTCTAACTAAATTTCTGAATTTTAATGACAGCTCTGCCTCTTTTGATGTGGTTCGCTTTTGTGATTTTTAAAGATTCTTTGCAGCCAGAGGACTTAAAATATGGTAGTCACATAAACTACCGTATTACTTGGCGGCACTATATTACTTGGCAGGCTTGCATCTGGGAAATTGTAAATTAACTGGTTTCCAACTGTAGTCTTCAATTTCAAATGAGAAACCTCATACACAGGAGCCAGGACGGCTATGTATTTATACACTTACCAACCTAGGCAGGACGGGGGAAGCGTGGTGTTAGACAGGGAAGGTGTGGGTATGTCACACTGCAGAGGAATGGAGGGAGAAGCCTGCGACCCAGTAAACTCATCTGTGTCATCGTAAATGGCTTTGTGAACTGGTGGGGCATGTCATCTCATCTCTATACCACTGATTTCTTCTTGGGTAAAGAAGAGGGTTAAAGTGAATCCTCTCCAAATTCCATCAAGTGCTATTTATAACAGCCAAGTAGAACAAGCCAAGGGTCCATCAGCTGCTGAGTAGATACACCAGGTTGCATGAAATGCCCAGAAAAGCAAATCTATACAGCAGAGCTGAAGGGAGGCTGCTGAGGGCTAGGGAGGGGAAATGTGGAATGACTACTAACAGGTACGGGGTTTCTGCTTGGAAGGTTCTAGAATTGTTTGGGGGGGCAACTGTTTTGGCACAATTATGCAAAGATACTAAACCACAGAACAGTGTACTTCAAATGGGTGAATTGTATGATATGTAAATTATCTCTCTATAAAGCTATTTAAAGAAATGTCTCTCAGCTCTACCTTTTCAAAAAGCTATGTGGAGAGCCAATCAATGACTTTTAGAGGAATCAGAATGGTTTTCTTATATGCACAACAAATAACAGCTCCAAATTGTCATTCTTTTTTTTTTTTTTAAGAGTTGCTGATACCAGAAACAGGACCTATAGAGCATCACCAAATGCCCCATTTTTGACGAGATACTAGGGAGCACTGGTGTCCTAGTGGGTAGGGAGTTGGGCTCCCAACCCAAAGGCAGACAGTTTGAATACACCAGCTGCTTGGCAGGAGTAAGATGGTCAATTTCCTCCTATGCAATTTACAGTCTCTGAAAACCTACTGGATGGTCAAATACGAGTCTGTTACCAAAAAAGGCAGTGATTCTGACTTCTTTCAGACCAACAGACTGGATCATGACTTCCAGAACCCCTGGAGGAGCTGATGGGTCTACAATTGCTGATGAACCAGAATCACACGCAACAGAAATTCACTACACAGGACTGAGTGAACTGAAAATTATTAGGGGCTTTATTTAGGAGATATTACTGATATTTTCTCCATTTTTCTGGATGTAAGAAACTATTTTTTCTTTCCTCTTTAGCTATCTATAACTCATAGTAATTTAACAGACTATGTTTACAAGAACAGAGATGAAACATTTTTCATTTCTCACTTCCTAATCCCTCTAGAATTACGGAACCTCTTAGTGAGCATTCCTACTGTTGATCACAATATAATTATGTGCACACATTTAGTATGACTTTGTCTCCCTTGTCAGCAAGGCTTATTTAGAAATCTCAGTGATCTGACCAAACTTTGACTGTAACGTTATTTTGAGAAATGTAGAAATGATGGTAGAAAATTGGGACTGACCAGATACTTTAAAGGAATTTTTTAATGGCTTTTATGGAGCCAGTGCTTACAAAGCCCTCTCCAGAAATCTAGCCTGGTCAAATCTTAAATGCGACCAAGTCGCTACCTCCTCCTGGTATTTGGGAACCTCAAGAACAGAGTAACTCATTCAAACCTGTACGAGCAAAAAATGGTGGCAAATGTTTGGCTTGGCTTCCTGGCTTGCACAAATCTAATCCGAGTTCCTCCTGAAAACTTCCAGCAAAGCACTTTTAAACGGCTATGTGGTAAGTTACCATTCTCAGGGAACCTGTGCGAATGATACCGCCGTATTTCAGGTCAAATTGCCTCATCATTCAGGAAAGGGTGACTACACAGAGAAATGTTACATTTCAATGGGAAACTATAGCAGGCCCTTGTGAGTTACAGAATTCTGGGTTTTGTCTTTGCAAAATCACAAACTAATGAGTTTGTTTTCTACTTGCAGTCTGGCTTCTGTTAGATGGTTTGTATTTTTTTTACCCCTCTGCATATCTGTGCACAATTACTTACTTAAAAAGAAAAACTGGACGTAAGAGAGAGAGATTAAGTTGGAAGGCCATCAGACAACTGCCTAACCTGCTGAGAAAGAGAGTGTTTACTGGTTCTCTAACCACAATTTCAGTTACTGAAGGTGGTGTGAAGTATATGTGTGTGTAGATGAGTATATGTTGTATTTTAAGATTAAATATTATGTTAGACAAGCTGACTTCATTAATAATCTAGATGATTCTACAGTATCTCTAATAATTATAATATATTATAATTATATTATAAAATAGATTAAAATAAAAATCAAAGCAAACCCAACGTCACCCACTTAGCTGGCTCATAGCAGCACTTCACAGGGTGTCCAAGAGTGAAAATCTTCACAGGAAGAGACTGTGCACTTAGCTCCTGAAGAGCACCTGGTGGCTTTGAACTTCCAACCTTGCAGTTAGCAGCCTGACATGCTGCACACTACTTGACCAAGAATCCTTATCAGATTAGTTCCTCATCTTTACCTACTTCCCAAAGACCCATGTGTACCTTGGTAAAAGCAAATTGCTGTGCAAATATTAATGTCAGTGCAATGAAAGCAGAGTGAGATGATGCTTTAGCGATGCTGGTGCTAGAGATGTGATGCTGGCTACAGGTTCCCCTCCTGCAGGCTCTCAGGATTCGCCTTCACGGTTAGGAAACGGAGGTCCTTGGGTAAGACAAGCCTTTAAACCACTAGTTTACGCAGTCCCTTTAAATGATCATCAAGCTACTTGAGTTGCTTGGTGTCTGCGGTCTTAAGAGACTGTGAGTGGCCATCTCACACACAACAAATGGCCTCCATTCATCTGACTGGAGGAACAACCAAGAGAAGCCAAAAAAGGGGGGGAAGCCAAAATAACACATTTCAAAAAGGTTACCCCATAAAGCAGCACCCATAGCCTCAGAAACCCAACACACGGTTGCCAAGTCAGAATCAACTCCAAGACAGCAAGTTTTGATTGGGTTTTGGGGGATGAGACCCAAAGGAATCTCTATGGTGTCCAGCCCACACTTGGTTAATCAAAGATGAATCAATTAGCAAAGAGGGGAGACTGCCAAAGGGAAACGTTAATAACAAACATGTTATTTTAAAGTTTGTTCTTACCCAAAAAACCACACTGTTAGCTGCCAGGCCACAGACCACCTGCGAAGCTGGTCTAATCAGTGATGTCAGTAAAGGGGAGAAGCAGGGTTCAGTCGTGTTAACATTAGCCAATGGCTAATCTTTTCCCCTCCTACTCTTCTTAAGTCTCACTGCCGCTTCTTTACTTTGAACCATTTGCTTCTTTTAGAATAAAAACAGTTGCCTCATGCACATATAAAGTTTTGCATAAAGGAAATAAAAATGCTCTATGATGGAAAGTAGGGAATGAGGGGCACCTTTTAAGAATCAGAGCAAATCAGTCTTTACAGGACAGGTAAGTTGTTGTTAAGTGCTGTCGAGTCACCTATGACCAGTTACCCAAAGAACAATGTATATGAACCCTGCTGTATCCTGTGTCACACTCATCATATCTGATATAACCGAGACCACTGTTACAGTCACTCTGTCGATTCACCTTGTTGAAGGTCTTCCTTTCTTTCACTGCCCTGCCACCTTTCCAATCATGATGTCCTCTTCCAAGGACCAGTCTCTCCTAATAATATGCCTCAAGTATGTGAGCTGGGTATATGGGTTCAAGGGCTTTGAGTGACCAGGAGAAGAATAAGTAAAAAGTAGTCATAGAATTACAGTAATCAAGATTCTTATGTTCCAGAGAGAAGTAAATACTGAAATATTTATGAAAGGAATGGCATGTTTTAAGTAATCAGGGTGTGAGAAAATAAAGAGATACAAAGAAAAATCAGAGCGGTCATGACAGAATTGCAAAAGGTAAGTGACAGGTGGAGAGAGGTTCACACTGGTCCAAGTTCATCATCACAAGTGAGCCTTGAAAACATGAAGCTAAGGGAAAGAAGCCCATCCGAAAGGCCACGCACCACATGACTCCATTTATAGGAACTGTCTGGAACAGGAAAATCTAAAACAGGAAGTAGTGACGGCCAGGTATTGGGGTGGGAGAAATTTGCTTAATGGTACAGAGAGAGAGAGAGAGAGAGAG